TTCGAAATTAACACATGAAAGATGATGTGTAGGGTCAATATATTCATCAATTAATCTTCAAAGGATCTTAAGTTGGCAGTAAGCATGAATAATCCTATATTCAGTCACTAGATGGCTAAAAAGTCATCTAAGAAAGATGATCGATCAGCTATAATAAAACTCACGGAATTGAAAATATGTACGCAGGAAATACTCAATTTGAAGAAAACGACCACAAACTGTTTGTGGATATTGCACGATAATATATTAATAATTTTATAGTTTTGCTTACGTTCGTTATCTGCGATACCTTTATAAGCTACACGATTGCGTACGTAGTTTTAATCTTTGTTGCCAAATTGTATACCGGTATATACTACATGGATTATACGAGTGAACTAAAAAAAGTTAAATACTTAGTGTTTTATCACTTTTATTACCTACGTTTATGGTTAATGATATCAAATATATCAGATATTCAGATATCATGAAATTTCGTTATTTCCGATATATTATACGGTATTTTCTGAGTTTCACTAGATCGTTGATCGTTGCAGTGCATTGAACGTATGTATATCATTGTCTAGTAATATGGAAAATGTAATTAAACTTATAGAACCCGAAAAAGGAAAACAGTTACAGTACTTTTACAATTTATTATTCAAGCCTTTTATTATTTTAAATATTTTGAATTATGTTTTTGACTAAGGTTATTTTTTCGAAATTTTAAACTTTTTCATAAATTAAAACTTAAATTTAGCAACGTTGTACAGCAAATCATACGCAATCGTTTGATTTTTGGGGTGAATATTAAAGTTAATTGTTTGACATACGCAAACGTGTTTCCAAAAAAGGTGCATCGTACGCATTCGTGTGGTACCCAGTAAAATATTATTCCAAGCCACTGCACGTGTGGACGACTGATATGACATGAAGTATAAAATATATAGCCGTCGAGCTTATTATTATGCCGTTAAGTTGAACATTTTATTTTTAATAATTATTTATTTATGATATTTTTCAACTGTAAAACAATTGTATCTTATCCAACAACTTTTAATTAAACACAATTAAATGAAAACTGTTAGATAGTACAGCAGCAGTATAATGAAAAGTTGCAGTCTACGTTCATTGTTAATTATAAATACTTGTTAGCAACAATGGTGTTTAGCAAAATTGCTGCATGACCGTTTGGTCGTAAACGGGTCGTTGGGAATTGTATAAACGGTATTCTCATCAAATTTGGCATCATGCGGACTGAACACGCTTTTTACGGGTAAATGTCAAGGAATTGATATTATACATTTATATATGTATATGGCATATTAAACTAGCTGTGTAGGACAAAGATACTGTTTTCGAATTAATTGAACCTCTCTTTTCTTCTACTGCAAGCTTTCTAAAGCTTTTCCAACGCAATGTGGTGTATGTGGAATACAATAGCATCAAACAATGTTATAATATTGGGTTAGGTGGTTGATGTGTTAACATTGTTCTGCACAACCATAATGGTTATGTTTTTGTCGTACATTCATTGTACGTGTTACATTTAGGTTACGTATTAATATTTCAATATAACAACAATCAAATATTTTAATTTTCAAGGGAATATGAGCGATTTTAATTTAAAAACTAAATTTATGTGTGAACCAACAATATTCAATACAAATATTTTGTAGTAACGCTAATGTATTGATATAATGTATTTGATATACATAGAGGAAGACCAATGAATTCATAATGTTAACACTTGTGATTGCACGCAGATGTGTTTCAAAAAGCTTTTTTCCGTCTTTTAATAGTTTTCACAAAAATTTTGATATCAATGTTTATAATTAGTGATACTAAATGCGACGAAGTTGATAATGGCAATGTAAAAAGTTTTGTATAAAGAGGCCTTCCATTGGTAGTATTTCTGGTATGAAAATAGTTAAATAATATATCACACGCGTGCGCTTTATTTAAAAAAAATTAAATGATAACAATACTGCGCGAGTATTGTTTTCATTTAATATTTTTCTATTTTTTTTTTCCCCATTGCACGGTTGTTGATGATTATATTTGGTTTTCATGCTTTATATAATACGAAAATTCAAATCAGCGATTTGATATATAGGACTTTTTGATGGCGAACGGGTGATACATTTTATCGCAAAAATAACGTGCAGGCTTTTCAGCAATTTTTTTTTATTGTGGAAATTTGTCGCAAGCACAGCAAACCGTCGTGCACTCGTTGCGCAGTGTTACAATATTATGTTATTTTCTGGGATAACACGACCGCACATTAATAAAATTTACTATGTTTCACCTAGGTCCTAAATGTGTACGTTTGGTGAGGTTTATCTATAACAGTTTCCGTGTTCAAATGGATGACCCGGAAGCTCAAGTAACGCGCTACCACCACAGAAGTACGATAGGTTTAAGAGAAATAATCATAATCGATGGCAAAAAAAGGTGAAAAAATAGAATTAAAAATTACATGGTTGATAAAGAATTGCGAGCCTCGTGTATGTTTGACCGAACGCTGCAACACGTGAACTGCAGGTTCATGAAATATCCATAACTCGAATGAGACTCGTTGCTTCTGAAAAGTCGAGACGGAAAAGAGTTCTATATATAAATCGTTTGCTCGATTGGTTTTTCCATTTAATGATTCAAAAAGGTTTGTTCCTCTAGAGCCGTCTAATTTCTTCAGAATGCTGTAAATTTTTAAATCATTCTTGCGGCTCAAAACTAGAATTTTCTGTTTTGTGTTCACTACTAAGCGGAATATTATACTAATAAAATACTCGAATTAAAGTATTTAACAAAGTTTTTGAACCGGAGTATATATTGGTTTTCTATGTCACATGATATGTCCTTTTTTTGTCTGTGTAACACAATTTCGACTAAATCAGTATTCCGATCGTTGCCAAATAAAAAGTAAAAGATAAGAAATAGTTTATATTTGATACTTGGAGAAGGTAGTTATTTGAATTTTTCGATCATTTTTTGAATAGTCATGAAAAACAAAGAAAATATTCCAAAAAACTTCAATATTTTTCCGTGTTATAAAATTGCCACTAATAACTGCTATTACTCTATCAGATATATAGTTTACTGTTTTTCAATAAAATCGAACCTCATAAAAAATAATCGTACTTATTACTTATAATATTGTTTCAATAGATGGTTTAATTTCCAAAAGATGTTTTTTTAGCGATTTATTGAATATTTGAAATGTTATGTTTTCTTAGTTTTTTTCTGAAAATTCCGGTTTGATAAAAAATCTTGAAAATTGAATTCAGAGTTTCTAATATATATTTTACTGATTTAAAAAAAAAATGGAATTTTTAACAATAAAAATATATTATATTCAATATAAGCCATCTTAAAAATAAAAAAAAATATTCACCCAACCTTATTCACTTATGATCGTTTTTTTCAGGAGAAATGATACATTCATTTCAAGTTTAAAAGACAAATACAGCAAATACCGTTCACTGATCCCTGTATCACCCTTGACCGTGCAGTGTTACTTGACCTAGGAGTTTCACCCTTTTTATTACTAATTTTAATAAATGTTGTTAATAAATAGTATTCGAAGGACCCAAGTAGTATTCTGGAAATAATCGTCCAAATCGTTGAATAATTTGAATACAAATTTATCATATTTTATTTTTATACTCGAATCCTTTTCCAGTAGTATTAAGAAATTAATTTTTAACAATTTTCTATTACACATTACTATTTACAGTGCATTAAAAATGTCATTTCCAGTGGCCACAATTTGATATATTGCCAACCTGGTGCATTTTACAAATAAAAATAGTACTAAAAAATACTAAAAGTGGAATAAACCAATTTTGTTGGTAAACCATAAACATTGGATTTATTTAAAAAGATAAAATCGGAGTATACAACTCTGAGATATTTCTCAATTTAATTAAATTTTTTATTCTTGTAAAATAAATAAATATATATATATATTGTACATTGTTTCACTTATAGAAACACATATATTTATCAATTAATGATCATATCGATATAGAATTTATGAACCATTTGCTTACGTATGGCGAGGAGTAATTTTATTTGTACATTGTTAATTGCTTTCACTATAACTGTAGATTGTTACAAACAATGCATATAAATGTAAGTGATTGTTTTGAATACCTCAAAACAAATGTGACTATCGCCAAAAAAACAAAATATGGAATTTCTGCAGTTTACTAAAATCAACGAACGGTGATCCACATAGGCAGTTTAAGTAAATTCAGTGGTGTATACATAACTTTTGTAAGGGGGGCAGGGATCAGTTGCAAACAAATTATTATGGAAGGAAAATTCCTAAACCTAAGTACCTGCACATTTAAATAATAAATAATAAAATATATATATATTGAATGTGTTAAAATAATAATTTATAATAAATCTTTGCAATATTATTTTGTTTCTTTATAATTTCCTTACATTAAGAACACTATTTTATAAAATTTTAAAAGGGCCTATGGGGGGAATCTGACCCCCACGTCCCCCCTTGTATACGCCCATGAGTACATTTATGATTGAAAACTATTTGTATTATACACGCGTATACACAGTTATAAAACTATTAATTATTTATACGTATTTTATATTTTGAAATCTATTTTTCACTCTATTTGCTGATATTATTATTATTTGGTGACAAAAGATGATGATGCTTTAATGATATATGCATTTATTTTACTCCGTTAGCTTTAAATTTACAGACGAATAAAGAAAAAAAAATCAAAAAAATCAAATAAAAATAAACACCAAACTAGTCTGAGTCATATTCAGGTTTAATAAATCATGGCCGTTGTCGAACATTTGTAATTGTATTAAAAAAAATAATTTCAACAAAATATGCTAAGAAATAAATGAACGACCGTAATCATCAATATTCATTAGTTCTATCTTACATTGTTTGGAAAATCACGTGCGTCCATGTGTACAATATTCACAGCTGTGCTCGGGATCTTAAATATTAATAATAATAGAATCAATATTGTATTTACCGTTAAGGACGTGCACGGTAACGCTAGCCGAATCCGATGCGGACGGGGCACACGTATAGTTGCCCGTGTCCGGAGGTTGAGCCTTAGATATCAGCAGTCGGCTGGTCCTAGTCTGTTTCTCGGTCACTACGCTGATACCGCCACGGCCCGAATAGTTGATGACATCCCTGTCCCTGTACCAGTAGATGAAGCTGGGCGGGTCCGGTGTTTCCAGTACCACGCACGTCAGGTTTATGTCGCTTCCGCTGCGGATGTACATTTCCGTGTTGCCGATGATCTTGGCCTTAGATACTGTATGAACACGAGAAATAAACTCCATTACTGATTTAGTTTATTTTCCTCTAACCCCACCCGCACCCATAATCGTTGATTTGTGGAAGACGTTCGTTTATTGCCCGGAACTATCGTTCTTCAGACTGGTAATATATATATAGCGTATACACGTACACCCAGAGGTGGAACGAAAAATTTTTACACCCGGGAAAAATGTTAAAATCACGTCCTGTCATAGACCAATAATCGAGTACTCCTCCAGAATTTTTTTCTAACAATATACAATCATATTTTGATTGAGTTTTAACCTAGTATCAGTATTTAACAAAGTTAAAAAATATCAAATTAGTTGTCAGTAATTACAAAAGTTACACCCTCTAAAATTTTTTACCCGAGGATGTATCCCCGTCTTCCACCCTCTATTTCTGTCCCAGCACCCGATGTATGATGCGCGCACACGTGTGAGTTTGTGTGTGTTATAACGATCAACGGTACAGAGGTTGGATAGACGTCATCGTGGGATTTCGCCCAATTGCTCAATAAAATAATAACGCATTCAAATGCGGGTAAAACGAATGGAGGGACAGTGAAACGGAGTGAACGGGTCAAAGACGTCCGTAACGGACGGAAAAAGAGCCAGAAAGAGTGAGGAAAGAGGTATACAGCCGATTAAAGGATATTACGTTCGTCTATATTATACCCACCTCGGAGCAGACTTAGATGTACCGTTATTGGCGGTTTTTATATATTTCAAGTATTTTAAAATAGTATATATAAATATACATATGTACCAACTTTTATTTTTAGTAAGAGGTAGGTTATTTACTTTATTTCGAATCGATAGTAATACATACAAGGATTCTTATACTTTTTTTAGGATCTTTTCACTATGTTATTATTTTTTAAATGCAACTTTAAATGTATCATACATAAACAGCTATCAATCAAGCGAGTGGAATTAATTTAAATATTATCATTTATTACTTATGGTAATACCTCAAATGAAGTTATGCTATCCAGAAAAGTTTTCGAAATTAAACAAAAATATTAAATTTATTTGATATTTAATTGCACAATGTATATATAAAAATGTTATGAATTTGTATCAATATTAATAATTAATAATTTACCTTAATGTTGTTAAACTAAGAAAAAAATGCCTATTTATCTTAAAAATATAGCATAAAAATATATGTCATATTATACTATAATAGATGATAGGTGTTATATAAAAATGTTATTTTTTTTATTAATAACAACGCATGTTATTTAAAGTGATTAAATGTGTTAAGTATGCATATATTTCATACACCTTTTAAAAATATTTAGTTAGATAGTTCTTATACATAGATAAGTTCACTGTTATATGATAATCGAAAAAAACCATCATTCATAATTAAAATGAAGGATTGTAATAATATACAAACTCATTATTTTCATGAATTTTAGCTTTTGAATTCTAACCAGATACCAATTTTCATTTTTGTGTTTTTTTTTTTCATCTATAATAAATTTTTTAAAGTAAAGATGATTGATTGTTAATGCATTTACAAATTAAATGAACTCATGTTACAATAGTCAGTGTAAATTGATTTTTATTAAACTTGTGTCCACTCTATTTAACTTATTTTTCTGTTAAATTGATTTAGTAAATTCAGTGCCCACCTCATCTGAGTTTATTCCATTCAATAGTTGCATTTTTGCTGAAAAACCATTATATTTTTTGAACAATAGAACCGTCGGACAAAGGTTTTTAGTTTATTTCTGTCCTTTAAGGTAATATCTTAAGTTGGCACCTTCTCTATATGTGTATATCAAAAAAAAAAAAAAAATTTATAATTCAGTATCCATGATTTATGAAGTACCTTTTTCCCCAAATACCGCCACATGATTATATAAATGTCAATGTCTTATAAGAACACACACAAAAATACAATAATAATGTATTTTTTGTCCTTTCGAGTTTGGCAACAAGTCATAAAACGCCTATTTAATATTTATAGTCCAAATATTTTTGATTTTCGAATTTTTCGAAACATAATATACAACCAGAAAATAATGTCTAAAGGTAAAATCTCGAGGAAAATACATTTTTGTCTTCACTAGTTTTAACTGGACTGCAATTTTTTGTTTAAAAAACTACTTGTGCTGTTTAATATAGTTAAAACAGAACTGTTAATCGGGTTATTTTAACTGAGACACATTTATCGTCAGATGAAATTAGTTTCATTGAAAATGCATCCATATTTATACTTTATATATTTATATCCAGCTTAGCGCAGAACATCAATAAATATTTACTGCAAATAAAATATTGCATTGAGAGAGCAGTGAGCACACATAATTTTATAAATTGGTACACGACTGCATGTACAAAGTAAACATGTGATACGATATTTGAAATAACACGTGAGCAAAGTTTTATGGTCACTTATAAACATATAATGTAAGTGATAAAATTGAAAATTATAAAATTTACCAATCAAAAATTATCGTGTTCTTAGAGAAATTGGGAAAAAATATTTAAACAATTTATCGGATTTCCGAAACAATATCTGATGATTGAATTGAAATACTACGTTTCAGAAAAAAAACATAAATTCTAAAAAGATATATTTTTAATCCCATGGCAGTCCACCGAATTTTATGATTACATTATCTAATAATCATATGTATGGTTAAAAGCGAAATATTAGGTATGAGTACAATTTGTTAAAAAAAATAATGTCATTATAACCGTATTTCCTTCCTTTTATACAAATAGCATTACATGGCAATAAAATACAGGGAATCAAGTGAACGAATGAATCAGCCGAGAACGCAACCAGCAAAAACTATTTTTCTTTAATTTTATTACCACATCCTTTAACGACGTATTAAGAACTGTGAGCAAAAGAGCACAAGAGGTACATCTGATACGACCAGACACCAAAGATAATAATAATACTACATTACACGAGATAGAACTTAAAGATAGAAAACGGCATAACCAACAAATCCATTGACGAAAACAGATGGATATTAATACTGATGGATGAATTGTGTATCGAATAAATGAATAAAAAAAAAAAATCTATAAAAAAAACTACAATAAAAAAAAAATCTTTACGAATAGAATAGTTATACTGTAGTTAAAACACCTATTGTAATCACATTTTACTCGGAGCATAACCGTACATAGAGGTGAATAGTGAAGGGAGGACATTATTCAAATGACTCAACTGTTATCAAAGAAACGGCAAAAACACTGCAAAGCGCTGAAATAACTTTTTAAAATTCATTCGAGAGTTATAATTGATACAGAATTGTCTATAAAATAACACAATACAGTTCACATATTGTATCTGACGTAAGCGTTTAGAATAATGTAATAACATCAAAGGTGTTTGTTTGGATTTTAGTGTTTTTGGATTTCACATTCTTGTTATTTCGGAACAACTACAATATTATATTCTGTTTTGTACACATTTTCTTATGTGTCAAATAGCTTATTGTTATTAACTAGACAGTCGTCAGATCAAACAGGCTTATAATTGACCATAGTGATATTGAAACCAGCCAAATATTAATGACATAAAGTGGTCGCAACGCCATCGTATCTATTGTCATTCGCCACTTACTCAGACCATGAGGCGTACACATTATAAATTACAGTTTATAGTGGTAATTACTGGGTCCGTGGTCGCGCCGTACTGAAATTGTCAAGGAAATGGTAAAGACTTGGAATTATTAACATCGCGGGATGGTTAACACTCAATACGTTAGAATACGTTATGTTGATTCAATGGTGTCATCGCCTACGCCGAAGGGATACAAATAAATATGCTTTTCAAATTCTACCGGGAAAAGTTATACGTAATAAGATTTAAAATATAATATGAAAGAAATACAAGTCATGAAAATAAGCATAATCGCCACAGATGTTAAGGGAAATGTTTATATCAACAGTGTACTTAGGAAATTCAGAATTCACACATACACACACACACATATACAGGTATGCGTGTGAAAAAAAGATTTTGAGACTCAGAATAATTGTAAATTACTGTTTGAATAGTCTATTAATTGTATACAGACAAAAAGAGCTCATCATTATTTCGCACGCACGGCCCGATACGAACATTTAATAATTACACCTCTATAATTTTTATTGTGATTTATTTGTAAAGAATATATTTATTTATTTCAGTTCATTATTATTAAAAAGTTTTTTGTCGATAACTGATTTTTTTTTTTTTTTTTTGTATAGTATTATTATTATTATTATTATTTTCTTTTTCGTGCTCTTGTGGCAATTTTTAAAAGAATAAAAATAATGAATATTTCCACAAGATTTGAATATAAAACTCAACAAAGGTAATATATACAATATCTGGGTAATGCAAATTTAATGAATTACATTCATTTTTTTTTTTTTTTGTAAACGAAAATGGCAAAATGAACTTTGATCAATATTGATTTATATACTTCTACAGTAAAAGATACTTCAATGAGCGAACATTTTTTTCACAATAAATTATTCTCTGGAAAAAACAACAATAAACAGCCTGGAGCATGAGTATAATAAATATGTACGCGAATACATGTTCCAGTTATCTATCAGCAATATTTATATTCACGGTATTCTATTGTACTACACTTAAATAGAAAATAATAAAACATGCAAATGTCTATCGTATTTTATATAATTTTTCATTTACTTATCAGATAGAAAAATTAGATTCTTATATATTAATAATATTCAAAATATACGAAGTTAATGCGTCATTTTAAAATCGAAAGATGATGTTTTTGTTGGCTTTGGTTGTATTCATTAATTTCAATGTCTGTTTCTTAAATGAAATAAAAACTCAAGAAAACTGTACGAATGACTCGCTTTGAATTTCAGTCCAATCCTTTAGACTGTTATTTACTTGTAAATTGTATTAGTATTGATTTAATGTAACGTTTATATAACAGAAATTTAAGTATTCACATGTTAAGATAATTTAAATGTTGTATACACATGAGAAGAATTC